ACTTATATATAGTAATTAAATTTAAATTCAAACAAAACATGCATTATGTAATTAAGTAACGAAAATAAATTTGGAATGAAAATGAAATGAAATGATAAAAGAAAATGAACATGTAAAGTAGCGCGTGCGAAGCGTAAATTTAACTGAATATACAATAAATAAAAATTATATATATAACTGAAAAAATTCACATGACCGTTATATTCATATTTTAGTTGTTAGTTGGTGCAAAGGGTTTAAAAGATCTAGACCAAATTGCATTAGAAAGGCAATTTGACATCGCAGATAACGGCTATGGTTACTCTAAAACTCGAGTTCTCAACTGGCTTATGTCACAATTGTCAAACTTTTAATCAAATTTTAAACAAAATATTTAAAACTTCACGCTTTTTACTAGTTTGGATTTAAAAACTATTAAATGCGCCTAAAACTGTGCTTATTTATAAATAATTTTAAAAATTTCTTGACTCGACTGTTTCACTGAATTGTATAACAACTACGAAGAGGGAATTAGTGAAAATACTTGATGTCAAAACATGCCATATTTGTTGTTGCGATAAAAATTTTATTATAAAGCGTCAGTGAATCCACAATTKTAAACTTCGTGGTGGTTCATAATAGAGAAAAAAAAGCAACAACATGAAAAATTATGCTTCTTTAAGACAGTCTAAGCTTGGTGGGCCGAATGCTTAAAATTTTCATATGGCCAAGTTGTGTCATTACAGCTAGTATATTTCCAAACCTTTTTGACGTATCTATATTGTTGCCGAAACAATAACGAATTAACTCGGTTTAACTTTTTCTGGGTTATTTTTTTTGCCAAATCTGAGTTACATTTTTCWATAATCGTATTCCCTGCAAACGTTATATGTGGTTATGGCTCTTTAAAAGGTATTTTTTGAGTAATTTTCCATTTCTGTATGTAAATAATAAAATTCATTGCATTGCCACTTAAAATTAGAAAGAAAATTTTAAAGTATATTTTTGAAAGTTAATTTCGAAAACATATATAAAAATATAATTTGAAAAAAAATGTAAATAGTAAAACGTTATTTTTGCACATTGTGGTGAATAAACCGTTATACATTTTTTTGAGTTTCCTTTAACCTTACGCTTCGCTGCAACAGCTACTTAACACAAACCCATACCTATGTATGTGCGCATGCGCAGAAGAACGCACTCACACAACGATAAAGTCGAAGAATGCAAAGTAGTGACGAAATACATGAAAAAAACTAAATTAATTTTTACTTTTAATTTATATGTAGATTATATTTGAAGTACATACATATATAGATATATATATATATATATAAATATATAGGTTATAAACATACATATAAACACCTGTCTCTTATACACATCTAGATGTGTATAAGAGACAGTTTAAACACTGTGTACTTTTATTAACTAAATATAAAAATAAATTTTACATTCGTAAGCTAAAAAAAGGTAAAATAACAAACAAACAATTAACGCAAAAACTGAGAGTGCAACGCTTAAACGTTTTACTCCAAACCAACACTGCTTTAAATACACATAACTGTAATGTAGTTAAAAGAAAAGGCGAAAAACTGCATATACCTACATATATAAGAACCGTTAGAAGGTAACGCTGCGTTTACATATTTATTTGTGGGCTAGTTTGTGTGCATTGTTGGCAATTGTTTTGTTAGCCAATTCGAATAAAAAAAAACGCGAAAAACAAATACAAAAATTAAAAATTACAAATATGAGGAAACGAATTTTGTTAGCAGCCAACAACAACCAGCTAAAATACTAGAAAATCGTACGCTGCACACAATATGCAATTTCGGTTTGCGAACAAGACGCAGCAAATAATCGTTTGAAATTTATTCATGTGGTTATTTATGTACATAATTATTATATAATATAAATTTAAATTAATAATAATAATTATTATAATGATAATGATAATAAAATGAAAAAAAAAAATATATGTGTAATCAAAGTAATGCGAAAATAAGCATATCGATGAGTTTGTTTTTATAACCTAAAAATAGTTTAGCTACTTTTTAATTTTGTGCTTTCAAGTTGCTGTGTTTTTCTAAAAGACATCAGTTTGATAGACACTGCGCTGCTTGGGCACAGGCGCCAACTGTTTGCGCAAATGCCGCTGCAAATCCAAAAGCATTTCACATTTACGTTCGCTACCACTTATGCTACGGAAATTGGTTATAGCAAYTGGCAGTAATTCCTCCAGCAGGTATAGCTTATTCTTCAACACGAAGTTGGGCTGCGTGTGATAAATAAAAATATAAAATGTAAAAATAAATAAATAAATAAATAAAGGACTTACATCCACACTAAGGCCTGTGACCGGCTTTACAGCTTGCTGAGCCATCATCATATCACGCAAAAGCAGCTCTAAACTAGGCCACAGCACCTCACTTTTGGCCAAGTGTGCGCATTGCGCCGTCAACTGCAGATAGTGGCGTGTGAACAACACTGTGGACTGCGTGAGATTGATCCACGTGTCGCCGGTAGTATGTGTGCGCATATCGATGCCAAGCGCATCCAATTCTAATAACAAGCGTTTAAGATTGCTTTTGGTTTGCAAGTTATATGGTTGCCAAGTGTCTTCGCTACGTCCAACGGTTTCCAGCAAACGCACACGTGATTCTTCGATAAGCGACTCCAGTGTGCTGCGCAAGAGACCTTCAAGGTGGTATGAGAGGTCTAAACCGATTTCAGTCAGCTGGCGGTGGAAATAGGCAGATAAAAYAAAATATTGAAAATAAAAAAAAATGTTGCACTAACCTTAGCGCATGGCTTGCGTATGCCCTCAATGCATTTCGCTACAGCATCCAAATGCGTGCCTTTGGTAAGGTAATGCTTTATCAGCTGACTGGCAAAATACTGCAGCTCAGCATTGCACCACACCACGAGTGCTGTAAGAAAATTGTGAGAATATTTCTGACTTCTATTTAAACACATGTAAAGTACGCACCGCCGACACACGCCGGTTGTGTTTCGAAGGCAGTTAGAAATTCGCATGCCACTTGAGTCAGATCACAGAAGAACAATTCGGATATTTCAGTGTTGTTGCGTCGCGCTTCACGCTGTGCTGTACGTAGCGCCATTGTGGCCACTTTGAGTAGCGTGCCACAAGCCTGTCGTGCACGTCCAATATCGACGAGTATCTTTAGCGAACGCCGTGAGGCACGTAGTGTCACTTGCAGATTACGACAATGACAATTGGAAAGTTCTTGCAGCAGTACGTCTGTCAGTTGTGTTTCTAAGGCCTTAACTTTTTCCGTGATTTGCTTAGCGTTCACAAAACTCGAGTCTTTTGCTATGTAGTCTTGGGTGCGTTTAATTAGCGCCTGCGCATCTTCGAAATACCTTTGTGCGACAAGTGTTTGTATTTCTTCGCTGGCCGTATGTATCCAATCGGGTCCATAGTTTTCTACAGCTTTGCCAGCGTGCGAAGCAGTGGGACTGAGATCGGAGACCAATGATTTAGCGTCACTTGGCGAATCCTTTTGCTGTTGCGATGACTGTTTCGCTTTGGGTGGTTGTGGTGCAGGCCCTTTTTTGTTTGTTTTCTTCTGTTGGTCAAAGCGAAAGGCAACTTCCAATTTCTCTATCCACTCCGTCTACGTGTAAATTATATAATTTATTTATAATTTTTAACTTTATGCATAAACTCACTTTGCCCGCAGCGGTAACGCTTTGGAAAATCTTGGAGCCATCTGGTGTTATTATGTTTATTGCATTACGTACTCCATCTAAATCCTTGATATTGATCACAGCAATTTTCTTAGGATCATATTCTGAAAGAAATTCTAGCCGCCTAAATGATAAAAGTTTTTTAGTAACAGGACAAGATATAATTAGCTTCCTTTACTTACTTGTCATGTTTTACTTTACACACGATAAGCACATCGTTAAATAAAAAGAAAAATACCCGCTGTATAGGGCGGTAATCATTGGTGTCTAATTCGATGAGTGCACCTTCGTTAAGGAAAGTTTTCCCCTCCAGATTGCCATTGAAACCCTGCACCATTTCTTTTACAGCACGCGTAGCATGACTATTTTCCACATCCTCCTGTGTTGGTTGCTCTTCGCCTTCCTCGTTATTCTGTGCATTCCCTGGTGATTTTTCGTCAGTAAGGGAGGCGAGTATATTACGCTGTTCTATGAGGATATGTGATAACTGATACATCTCCGATTCGAGATCTACATATAATATAATTTCTTTATATATTTAGCTACACTTAACCACTTTTCAAAAAATATTTACGTGAAATTTCTTTCGCAGTTTCAATGAACTGCATGTAATTCGCATAAACGGATTTTTTTAAGGTGGCTGATGTTTGGTCGCTGTAAACCTGAATCTCCTTCTTGCGTTGCTGCAAGTCTGCGCCGCCGACACATTCTTTAACTAATTGTTTGGTGTCTAAAAGCCAAAATAAACAAAGTGTGAATTTTTATTCGTAGAGAATTGAAATCATCATTTACTTACATTTATCCACACTAAAGTCTGKCTTATCAAAATCTTTCATCACTTCAGACATCATGACCAAATTTTATATTAGATTTAAAAAATTAACAATTAATTCCCACTTATCAAGCACAGAAAATATTTTTACAATTGTGGCACTCCCCCAAATCGATGTCAAGAAAACATGAACAGCTGTTTGCTTCAATTGACATTTTGAAAGGTGTGTTCGAGTACTCAATCTATTTTAATATATATCACAAGGTTTTTCTTATTTTAATAAAAATAACATAAAATCCAATTWCTCTTATTGATTAACTAAACAACATCATTAATTACGTGTATATAATTGATAGAAAATATATTATTAACATATAAAGACGTCAACAAAGAAAATATTGTTTTTAAAGGAATGCGCCATACATATTCGTAAAGTAAAATTRAAAACGAGTATTTTAAGACAATTCCCGTAAAAATTGGTGCACGTTTTCGRAAAAGCCGCTSTCCTGAACCTTTACCAAATTTTCGATTACAGTCTATGAATGTATATAAAATATATATTTTTTGTTTTTATCCTGACTTTTCGCCAGTAACTTGGCCGCACTCTTCTCTTTCGTGATGACATATCCATCAGTAAACAGTTGACATTTGTGGATGAGTAATTTTTTGTTTTTGTGTGTGTTTGTTATTTGGATTTGGTCATCATTTCAACATAATATAAGAAAAGTCGGAATCATTTCCAACTTTGATAAAGATTTTTGTGTACGTACTTTTTATTCGATTAACAAATTAAAAGCTCATCATGGATTGGTTGTTTGGCAAAAAAATCTCACCGGATGAGATGCTGCGCAAGAACCAACGCGCCCTTAATAGGGCTATGCGTGACCTGGACAGAGAACGCATGAAAATGGAGCAGCAGGAGAAAAAGATTATTGCGGACATAAAACGTATGGCGAAGGAAGGTCAAATGGATGCAGTGAAAATTATGGCCAAAGATTTGGTACGCACACGACGCTATGTGAAGAAATTCATGCTGATGAAGGCAAATATACAAGCAGTCTCAYTGAAAATACAAACCCTAAAATCACAGAATACCATGGCACAAGCAATGCGCGGTGAGTATTTGCTAACATGGCGAAGTTTGGTAATTTTAGTTAATTACTAACATGRTTGTACACTCTTCTTTGTTGTGCTGTATTAGGCGTTACTAAGGCAATGCAAAATATGAACCGGCAATTGAATCTCCCACAAATTCAAAAGATATTACATGAATTTGAAAAGCAATCTGAAATCATGGATATGAAAGAAGAAATGATTAATGAAGCCATTGACGATGCGATGGAGGATGAGGGCGACGAAGAGGAGACTGATGCTGTAGTTTCGCAAGTTCTAGATGAATTAGGCTTGCAGCTAGGTGAGCAATTAGGAGATTTGCCCACTGCCTCAGGATCATTATCTATTGCTGGCGGCGCTAAGACTACACCGGCTGCGGTAGCTGCTGGTGGTGTAGGTTCGGGTGCAGGTGGTGGCGGCAATGGTGGTAATGGCGGTAGCACAGCAGCGGCAGGTGGAAGTGGTGCATCTTCTCCAGTGTCTGATGCTGATGCCGATTTGCAAGCCCGCTTGGACAAACTGCGCAGAGATTAGGAATTATTTGAAAACGATTTGAACAGAAACAGGCATTCACGCTTCGCAAAACACTTTAAATATTAGTATTTTACTTTATTGCTATATGATCTTAAGTTTTATATCAAATATTAGCTGAAATAAGGTGGTMATTTTTATATGAATTAATTTCATTTTAATCACGTTATTAAAAAAGCGAAGTGCATATAAAAATTGTCTCATGTACATAATAAAAAGTATGTAAGCCTTTTGGCGGAACAATGCAAATACACACGTTGAAGCATTGAAAGTTCCGCCTGTGGTCTAAATTGTTATAAAAACTAATTGTTTTCATTTAAAATTTTAATATTTATTTATTCAATAACAAATTAGTTGAAGAATTTTCTACAATTTGGATTGCCATAATATTAAAATTTCACATATTTTTATATGTGTATGCCCTCAATACAAAATATACAAGAAGCAGATACAATGAAAGCATTCCTTAACTAGAATTAATTTAATAAGWTTCGCGTTGTCTTAATAGTAGATACGTATATGTATTGATAAAACTATTCGTAACCATTTATGTGTATATATGTTTTCCAAGTATCGTCTTATCTTACAAATGTACGACAGACATCAAAGAACGTACCATTCCCCTAAAATTGTGTTTATTAATATCAACCCTCCCTCCCCCAAAGAAATTTTCGCTTTTACACGAAAGGCTAGTCATTACTATCATGCATAATTTGTACAAACGTTTGTGCGCTTTCAAATAATGCCTATTTGWCCGATTAAATCATTCCTTCCAAATTGATGTGAAAATTTTGGAAAAACATAAAAATTAAGTATTTTTTAATACATTTGTATAACTTATAACTAAATTGCATACAATAAGCATAGTATTCACAAACTGACCCAAACGTAAGAAGTAGTATTATTAATAGTAAACAATCTGTTGTAGAATAAATTAAATTATAGGCTTTATTGGCAAGTAGACAGAACTTGACCTTGGGTAAATATACTTGAAAACACCACACATTTTATAAACATGTACATCTGACTGCATGTAAAATTAAGTATTTACTAATATCCAATTCGATACAATTTAATAATCAATAGTAACAATTTCCGCAATATTTTAACCCTACGTGAATGATGTTGCGGTTCAAGGTAGCCCTTTTATTGGAAACCTGCGTCGACAAATACCTTTTCCACATTCTTGAATACTTCATCAGCACTTGGATTAGCATCGATTTGTTGCACTTTTCCAATTTGTTCGTAATGCTTGATAATTGGTAATGAATCGTTGTTGTACGTTTGTATACGCTTCTTTAAACTCTCCAAGTTATCATCGCTGCGCCCAGAACCAGCTTGACCGCGGGCCAAACAACGTTCCACACACTTATCTTCAGGACAATTAAAGAACAAAACAAATAGGAAATCGACTTTGTCCGACATCTGACGTGTCCAGCCGTCAAGGTTATCTTGGTTACGTGGAAAACCGTCAATGAGGAACTTATTTTTGCCCGAGTTTTGCATTGCATTTTCCAGCAGTGAACATGTTACTTCAACGGGCACAATTTTGCCATCGCGTATGTAGCTCTCTATTAATGTACCATATTCGGAACCCTCACGTGCCCGTTCTTCGCGCAATAAATCGCCGGCAGAGAGATGTACAAATTGGAAGCGTTCTACGATTTTAGAGCATTGTGTGCCTTTGCCAGCGCCGGGGCCTCCCAACACAAACACAACTTGAGGCTTTTGCTCTTCTGGCATAATTATTTTATTTGTTTTGACGTAGGTATTGTGTATAACTGATTTATTGTTAAATGAACGTAGTATTGATTTGCTACAAAACTGCGCTAATTTCTGAAACTGCTCTTGTGTTGTATTGAATTGTTGGCAAACGGAAATAGCTGTTGGATAATTAAATTTGCACAGGTCACGATACAGATATGTGCCACCACTTCGAATTGCTGCGTTGAGCATGAAATTGTTTTAACTGTATACGTGTACTGAAAGTGGTTGATTTGATTATATAGTTTTCTGCTGTTCCTTTTTCGTATAATTCTTGTTTGTTGAAAGATGCGCGGCTTTTCCACTTATTTTATTTTTTTTTACAATTATTGACAGGGCACGGAAGGGCAATGTGCTTAAGTAATATTCGTCATTTCAGTTTCTCAACCTTGTATTGTATACTTTTCTTAAATGCATATGAAAATATGGCGTTCTCGCTTTGGCAAACATTCKGAAGTTGCAGAATGCAATTTGAAAAGATTGTAATTGTTTCATTGTGGTCAAAGTGCAWCGAAATCACTTTTTTCTATAATTAAAAGCTCAGGAGAATTATATTCATATATAACAAATCAAAATATATCTTAAGAAAACAGTAATTCAATTTGAAGCTGGAAATTGATTTATTCAAATTCTAATCGATAAATAATCGATATCTGATAGACAATCGTAACATTGGAGTTTATCATAATTTTCCTCAACGAAAATAACGTCAAAATTTTTTTTTCAAATAATATATCCGTATAAACGTTAAGTTACTTTTCAAGGTGTGTTTATTCCACTAGTTAAACTGAAATTTCAATATAAATATTTGTATAAATAGACAGACAACAAACTGAAGCACATTATTCGATGTATTTGAATTTTTAAGAATTAAATGTCAAACAGCATGCCCTCCTCATATAAGACCACTTTTGAAACGCAACTGATAGTTTATATATTGTAAACATATGTATATTATTGTACTACAACATGTTTTAATATTGAATTGTTGGAAGAACTTTTAGATGTGTATAAGAGACAGTAAACATATGTATATTATTGTACTACAACATGTTTTAATATTGAATTGTTGGAAGAACTTTTGCTATCGTACGAAGGCTGGGGGCAGAGTTGCAAATGTCAAATATCCTGTGTGGCCTGGTAGCGTAGGCGGCGCAAACGATGTGAGTACTTTCTTGGTTTCTTTAGGGGTTTTTACGGTATCTGCCTTTTCATTTGATTCAATAGTACTTGATTCATCCAATTTTTGAGAAGACGGTTTCTAGAAAAGAAAAAGTACTTATTTTTACTTGTATACCATACACCATAAATGCTATTAATAATTACTTTGTGCTTCAGGAACTCTAAATCTACCACRGGCAATGTTCTAGTTTTAACAACATGCTCTTGCTGTAGTATTTCCATTGAACGAATCTCTGTGAATCCATGTTCTTGTAAAGCGATACAACAACGTTGGGACTGTTCAATACAAGGTGAGAATGAACAGAAACGTCCACCTAATGAAATATGTAAGACATTTTTAAATTTATAATTTTCAATGATCACAAACATTCACTTAGATTTACCCTCCGTTTTAAGAGTTTTAGCGGCAAATGGTACCGCCAGCTGAGGTGCCGGCAAGTCCAAAAATACTGCATCCGCTTTGCCTTCCAACTCATTGCTAAAACCCAGTTGGCACACATCGCGATGATAAACGGTTACAAAATCACCTAAACCATGTCGTTCGAATTCTTCACGCGCTTGTTGCACTCGCGCTTCGTGGAAGTCAAATGTATGCAAATGACCATAAGGTTTAATAGCACGTAAAAAATAATGTGACAGTGAACCTGAGCCAGTACCAGATTCAACTATCACTGAACCTGGCCGAACTTCGAGTTGGAAGAGTATCATACTAATATCGGGTGTGTAAATGATTTGTGTACGATGTGGCAGCGTTTGCGTCCACAATTCTGGATTTGGCTGTAGTACATAGGCCCATCCTTTCGAGAGTTCCACCCGCGAGCCGTAAGTGACACCAATGAGATTGCGCACCTTTAACGCGCCATATGAGGTTTGAAATATCTGCATGAAATAATAACAAAATTGAGGGTAAGCTGGTATTATTTAATTCAATAATTATTTACATATTCAATGGTTTCGCCTTTTTTGTTGACTATTGTTGGTGTTGCTTCAATGGCATGCATCGAATTTACTGTGAGATAAAGTATAACTGTATCGCCCTTTTCAATTACTTCTTTTGGCTTAAGGAAACTCATTTTGTAATGTTTTACTTGTTGATAAATGTTTAGTTCAATAATTTAAAGAAAACACGCCGCCTACAATTTGTAAACAAATATTTTGACATTTCGCCGGTTTACGATATTGTAAGCAGATTTTACGTTCTCTGTTCACGTGCTGCGTTTGTAGGGCCACTCAAAGTTTGAGAATTAACATTTTAGTGTTTTTAGTTATCTGCTTATTTAATAAACTTACTTTTAATGCTTTAGAAATAATTTTACAAAGTTTATCATTTTAGCTATTTGCATTTTTTAGCTGTGAGTAGGCAAACTGAATTTAGGAAATTTTCACTTCTCATGAATGCCCTGTAGAAATTTTTGACTTCAATTTTAAAGTACGTTTCAAAAATCAAAAATCTAACGTGTGTTAACTGGTTGATGCTGTAAATATTTGTGGGTATGAAATAAAACTGGTATTCGTAATAATAAATCGAAAGCAAATTGTTGCCCGTTTGTCAGACGATTAAGCAACGGGATAAAAATCTAAAAATGCAAACCATAGACATTGTAGCTGTAGCAGCAACAACAACAAAAGTCACAATTACAACTACGTACTTGCAATTGTGCAAAGCGTAGCTGCTGCAACTTGTGGCATATAAAAAATCTCTCATGACATTCAAGTGTTGAGTGTGTGTATGTGTTGAAATTGCAGCGCGACTTGACCGTCATTCGTACTACTGACGTGCACTGATGGCGGCAGTGATGCGCTGCTGTAGTTGAAGTACTGACTGACTGCTAAACAAGTTGAAGGACTGACTACCGCCTATAGAACAGGCGGTCGGCCGATTAGATGGGTTGCAGTGTTGGATGAATTGACTGTTAGATGGTTTGACAAAGCAGCTGCTGAGTTTACTGACTGACATTGCTGACTGTTGACTGTTGCCGCTTTTGCAGCTTTTACTATTGCTGTTTATTCGGTTTTTTGTTGTTGTTGTCTATTAAAACTTACTTCTTTTCAACAAAAATTTTGTGTTCTTAATTTCTATTTGATTGCAAAGACAAAACAGCTGTTTGCTAGTTTTCATATTTGCTGCATTTCAAAGAGAGCACAAATATACTGCTCCTGTGCACTGAAGAGCTGGAATATTTACTTTCCAATTCCTGCTATCTTGTCAATAATTTGCCTTCAATTTACGGTTTATTGAATACATTTTAGCCACCCGCTTACCGTGGTAACCAACCTCAAATAGCGGTCTCTGCAATTTTATGCATAAATCAAACTACATACATATACAAGTATAGGCACCATTGTTGCTGTTGTTGCGAATTTCATCACATCAAATTGCTTGCGTTTATGTGCGAAAATTTTAAAATTAAAGACACAAAAAAAAAAAAAAAAAAAAGGAAACGACGAATTAATAACACAAAGGAAAAACCGTGTCACATAATTTTTAATTGTCATTGCTTGCGCCTAAATTGCTGTTGCTCGCGCAACTGTCACAACATTTCAGCAATCTCGCATTACGGCTCATCACCAAGCGACCCGGCAGCAGTGCGATGCAATCGACAACACTTCACGCATTTCTGCGCAGCAATCGCTCGTGTTAATTGTTGTTGCTATTGTTGTTGTTGTTGCATGCATATACATATGTACATGTCTGTATATTCAGTTGCATATAACAGTGTGGCAACAACTGCAGCTGCGCTGCAAGGAGCCAACAAGTCCACCAACAACAACTGCAATTGACATGCACTGTTAAAATAGCAATAACAACAAATTGTGCATACAAGCSTCCTCGCGATATTTAGTGAGTGTGTCTCAAGTCCAAGTGCAATTCGGTTCATTCACTGCCATTTTTGGTCCGTACCTACTTTGCGGCGCTTTTCTTTTGAAAATACGCGCCGCACAACTCGCTGCCAACTATGCACAATTGTGCCCTCTTCCCCCTCTTTTCCGCTTACAGCACTCCCGTGCTGCACTTGCAACGCATTGCTTGTTTACTCATATGTCAACTTCTGTTGTGGTTTTCTGTTGCTGATTGATGTTAAGTGCTGTTTGCTAGATTAGTGCTAGCACAACAATAACAACAACCACATATATGCATACACTACTCGCTTTGTGAATATTGTTGTACAAGCTTGCCCACACTTGCTGTGCCTCTTGTTGTGCCTTTTTCTGCGCCACCCTCTCACTCTCTGCCTCCCTCGTTCTCTGTGGCGTGTGTAGCGCTGGTGTCTTCTTGAATCGCAGCAGCAATATTTTCATACTGTTATTATTGTTGTTGTATTATTGCAGTAACTGCTGTTGGTGCCGGACCTTCGCCGGTTCGCCAGTTCGCCAGTTCGTTGTTGCTGCAACATCATTGCTGCCACTAAATTGTCTGTCGTCACATTTGTTGCTGTCGCCGCCAACATTTCTACATGCCCACATTACAGCACTGCTATTTGCKTGTGTTATTGTTGTTATTGGAGCTGTGTTATTTGGCTGACTGATCGCTGATCGCCGGCGAATGTTTGTTAGCAAATTTTCATACTAATTGTCAGGCAATTTTGTCCGTTTTCATCCGCCGCAACGGCCGTTCGCCTTTGCATAAGCGCAAACAGTTAATACACATACATGCATATGTACATGTATGTATTTAGCACTGTTAAAAATAAAAAATGTTTGTAAGCACTCGGCCACGCTCAAAATCCGAGAATCACATGTAAATAAAGTTTAATCGTAAATTGCGAGTGAAATGTGCGACGATTATGCTGGTCATTGGGCACAAGAGAGCCGCACATAAAGGCAGATAGATGCAAGTATGTGAACTCTTATATTTAAGTGAAGAACTAAAATGTATTTATGTTATATTATTTATCTTACTTATTTATTATTTAATAATTATTATTATTTTTGAAAATGTTTCCATTATTTGTTCTATAAACACCACTTTCGCGGTTATAGTCGAGTTTACAACAGTGCAGCCCAGTCCTTCTCTATCTGGTCTTTCCAACGGAGTGTAGGTCTTTCTATTTCTCTGCTTCCCGCGACCGGTACTGCGTTCATCCATACGGACGACATGACCTAGCCAGCGTATGCGCTGTCTCTTGCCCCGCTGAACTATGTCAATGTCGTCGTCTACTCGTAAAGGACCATACATTTAACGCAAAACTTTTCTTGAAAACTCATAACACCGACTCATCAGATGTTGTGAAGCTGAGTGACTTGTAAAATTTGGTCTTTGTTCTTCGAGAAAGGACTTTACTTCTCAATTGCCTACTCAGTCCGAAGTAGCACTTATTGGCAAGAGTTTTATTCTGCGTTCGATTTCGAGGGTGCCATTGTTTTTGCTGTTAATGCTGGATCCAAGATAGACGAAATTATCTACCACTTCGACCACCGCCACTATTATAAAAGATTGTACCTGCTCGATTAAATTCTGTAGCTCGAATTCTTCTCTACATTAGCAGATTGAAGAAGTCGCATGATAGGTAGTCGCCTTGCCTGAAACCTCGTTTAGTATCGAGCGGCTGGGAGAGGTCCTACCGGATCCTGACGAAGCTTCTGGTATTGCTCAAAGTCAGTTTCCACAACCTTATTAGTTTTGCGGAAATACCAAATTCAGACATCGCGGCCATAAGGCAACTCCTTTTCGTGCTGTCAAAAGCAGCTTTGAAATCAATGACACTGGTGTGCGTTTCTTTTCACGGGTATTTTCCAAGATTTGGCGCATGGTGAATATTTGGTCGGTTGTTGATTTTCTAGGCTTACAGCCACACTGATAAGGTCCAATCAGTTTGTTGACGGTGGGCTTTAATCTTTCACAAAATTTGCTCAATAGAACCTTATACGCGATGTTGAGGAGGCTTATCCCACGGTAGTTGGCGCAGATTGTGGGGTCTCCCTTTTTGTGGATTAGGCAGATAGACTTAAATTCCAATTATAGGGCATGCTTTCGTCTGACCATATTCTACAAAGAAGCTGATGCATAGTCCTTATCAGTTCTTCTTCGCCGAAGCTTTGTTGTTCTTCAGCGGGTAATTGCTGTTTGAACTTCTTCAAGGTCGGGCAATGGAACGTTTGCTTCATCGCCATTGATTGGGGAATCGGGTTCAACATCTACTAGTGTTATGCTAATATCTACTCTAGCCAATTGCCGGCTTCATAGAAAGTATGGCAACCAAGATGCTTAAGATTTAGGAAAACCTGGACAGTCAAGGAAAAAATGTTTAGATTTTTCACCACATCTTCCTCCCTGCAACTTTRACAACATTTATGTTCCAAAGTCTTTAGCGCCAGCTTGTGAGTACTAATAGAACGGCGATGAATTATGAGCTAGATCAGAAACGCTCTCTGCTCACCAACACCTGCTGAGCTCGTGCTGATAGATCCAGAGTTCGAGTGCACAACGACCGGGGAACACCTGCTTGTTCCCATCCTAATGAGATTTGGTTAAGAGTGCCCTTTTTAGGCAGCTCATCGGCATCAGGCATACAGACAAATTTAATATGGAAGTAGCTTGATGCCGCAGCTAGTGATGTCATGTACTCCTTGACTATCTTTCCGTCCTCAAGGCCTGTAAAGGATTTGTATTTAATACGTAAAAAAATATTTTTTTTTTTTTCAGCCCGGCCCAATTTTGATCAGATGGTATAAATAACGTAGCGATAACTTGTTCACCGTTAAGTATCGTTTTTACAACTGAGCCATAAACGATCACCTTATTAAAAGTAAGCATAATATTACCGCTAAAACAAAAGATTTAAGCAACGAACTTCRGTGGACAGGAACACAAGGTTCAACTTCTGTACGGATGGGTCCAAAGTACATAAGCGATTATTCAGCCAAATTATATTAGATACCAGAATCGCCTTCCGTCTAATAGATCACCAGATCACTGAAAATTCTTCCAAGCGAAGATCGTAGATATTAGAGAAAGTCTTCCTGTTCTAACAAGTGTGCTCACAACAAGGAAAATATATTTATGTTATATTCAAAAATAACGGCACTTTTTCTGAGAATTTGATCTCGCTGTATGTAACTTTGTAACAGCATTTATGGCAAGACAGTGTACATTTCACTGGAAATTATTTGTCGCCAAGTGAAAATTATTTTCAAAATTAATTTATTGCTTTTCTTGTTTCCTAAA